AAGGCAAACGAACAAATTAATAAGGCAAACGAGTTGGGAAGAAAGACAGTGGAAGAGGAAACGAAAATGATAAGAAACAAATAACATGTGAATAATTACACTATTTAGAGTCCCAAATCGTTCTCACGGGAATTCAAATTCTTGAAGAAAGATAATCATTCCTTTCAGAAAGTGAGAGTACCGAACCTTGTCCCTAGTATATATCATTTCATTCATATCTCAAGCCAATACTTGCACATCATTTATATAATTAAATTTAAGATTCATAATAGATTAGAAAGAAAGGAAAAAAACATCAGATGTAACATGAAAACACTTGCTTCTGACATAGGTGATGCGATACCTTCTTAGTATTTTCAGACGTAGCACAAGAATTTTTTTTTTTTTTTTTTTTTTTTTAAGAATATGTTGAATATTGAACTAATACAATGTTAAGCTATATGCCTCCTATCTTAAGTGTTTACGTGAGAAGACAACTTGCAATGTTATCAGAGTCAAAGTCCTAAAGTTCGAATTCCCATATTGAGCTAGATTAAAAAAAAAAAGATGAAAAAAAAAAAATCCATATTCAACTTTATAAAAGACAACGAAAGTTTCATGTGAAGGGTTTTATTAGACTAATATGGTGTTGAACAATCACCTATTAATTTAACTTTTTAGGTGGGATAATAATTTAACATCGATAAATAGACAAACATGATCGGGTGTGTTTGTTTTAGTATTTTGAATAGTATTTTTGAAAAAGTAAGAGTTGGGTGGTAAAACGAGGTAAGATTTGAAAATTAACAAAAACATTGTCTTAAGTTTGTTAATTTACTAAACACCCCTATAATAAAAATATTAAAAATTATAAAAACACTTCCATCCACCCATTAAATACCAGCAGCCAGCCATCACTGCTAGAAGGTGGCTGGAGTGGTCGTATCGACGCACGACCTACTGGATATGATTGGTTGTGCACTGAAATGACCTTTTCCAATCAGATCCACTGTGAATCTAGTAGAAAAATGGCAAATTTACGGCTAGATCTAGCCATTGACGGCCAGATCTGATCGTGTTTGGTCATCAACGACCAAAGATCTGGCCTCTGGCTGTCAATGGCCAAATCTTTCGTTGTAAACCTGACCTTTTCCGGCCAGATCCACAGTGGATCTGATTAGAAAAAGTTATGTCGATGCACTACCGGCTAGCTCTAGCTGATAGTGTGCCATTATATCAGATTCTGACCACCTTCTGCCAGTAGTGACTAGAATCTGGTAAATATGGGTGGATGGATGAGGGTATTTTTGTCAATTTTTAAACTTTTTTTAGGAGATGTTTAGTTAAATTAACAAACTTAAGAGGTTTAAAAATAATTGAATAAAATATAATAGTATTTTCAGAATAACAAATGTATATTTTGGAAATGATAAGAATAGAATAAGGTAAAAATAGGGAAATAAACGCACCCGAAGTATTTTCCAATGCTATTTCTTTTCTATTATTCATTAAATCATTTATCTAAATTTATGCAAAGACAAAGATAATGAATGGTTGCTTCTTTCTTCTAGGAAATAAAAGTAAATAAGCACAAGCTAGAATTTACTGGGTAGCCGACAGGATACAAATAATATGTGGATGGAAATGAAGTCTTCATGGAGTGCGATGTGAGCTAGCCATCACACTGCAATTTCACAGGACAAACAGTGTACGTAATATAATCAAAACCACATAAATGGAACCTGCAATATTCACGTTTTCTGGTATATTAATTTCATTTCACTACTTTGAATCAATTCATTGAACATAATGTAATTGGACATGTGATTCCAAGAAGACAAAATTAAGTTCACAGAAACACATCACTTTTTTACCACATATGGGTGCCGGAGACTGGAAGAAGAAATAGATATTGAGAATGTGTTATGTGTGCTTGAGAACAGTGTTCTAGGCTAAGCATTTTAAAGAGGATCTATTAAAGATCTTACATGAATCTGAGAAGTTTCCTTCTTTAGGTATTTATACTTGGAAGTTATACCATGTCAAACAGTAATATTTATTGGTGATTAAACAAAGCTTATTTAGTTTTATTAAGAGTCTAATTTAATTTGTTAGTCTCGTTAAAATAGGATTTGTCATAGTTTGTGATAAGTTTAGTATTATAATTTTTAGTTCAAGTAGATTAATTAAGATTTGACTCCTACTTAAAGAGTGTACTTGTCAAGGGTTTGGTTGGGATAAAAGGAATGTACGTTTTATTTGAGAAAGGTTAAAATAACTGTTTGGTAGGTTATTTGAAAAAAAAAAAAAATGTTATTTTGAAAAACTATGTGAATAGGATAGGATATGATTAAATCAAATAGGATAAGATTTTGAGAATGTGATTGGTATAATATTTAAAAATTATAGCTAGATAAAAATATAGAATAGTTGTTTAGTACATTTTTGGAAAACATTTTCTGAAAACATTTAGATTATTTTTAACCTCCTACATTTATTAATTTAGTTAAACACTTTCCACAATAAAAGTTTATATATTAACAAAAACACTTTCACCCACCCAAGCCACCATCACACAGTAGTCAGCAGTCGCCTGAATGATGCAAGATAGCTGGATCTAGCCAGTCGTGTGTCGATCTAGCCTTTTCTGATCAAATCTATCATGGATCTAGTTGAAAACGACCAGATTTATGGCCAAAATCTAGCTGTCGTTAACAACCAAAATATGGCATTTGTTAACGACCAGATCTCTAATCGTAGATTTAGCCGAAAATGGCCAAATTGGTGTATGACCGGCCAAATCTGGCTATCATGTGTCGTTTCAACGTTGGCAGTTGACAGTGGCTTGGGTGGGTGGTTGTGTTTTTGTTAATTTATAAATTTTTATTATGAAATGTAATTGTTTTTAGTTAAATAGAATTGGAAAAATGTTAGAATAGGATAATAGAAAATAAGTTCCACCCACTTTTCATTTTCAATAGAATCTTAATTGATTTGAATTGATTTTAAAAATAATGATTCCAATTAATACGTAAACAAACACATATTCTATTTTTTAATCTAAATAGGATAATAGAAAACTGATTGAAAAGAGTGAAATAAACAGGGGGAATAAGTCTCAATTGTATCCGTTTGAGTTGACATCATTTTATTTTGTAATTTTATATTTTTTATGTTTTCCTACAATATCTAATTATTATCATGTGATAATAGCAAAATAAAATTACATGTGAAAAATATGATTCAAATAAATTTTGGCCAAGACTTCTTTCTTTGTGGTTAAGAAAGAAAGAGACATATACACACATTGTTATAAGTACCATGCAATGGTGGAGCCAAAATTTTGGTTTGAGGAGCTGATAAGTTGCATAATTTGAGTGTTTTTAGGGTTGTTTTGATGTTAGTTTAGTTAACTTCTCATTTGTTTCCTTTGTTTTGATGTTTGTTTTTGTTAAGTTTGAGATATGAATGGTTACCTATTGATTTGGATAACTTTTTTTAGGCTTTGATTAAGTAGATTGGAGCATTGGAATGAAATTGGGACTTAAAGCTTGAAGAAGTTGAAATTACCTAACATTCCTGAAGGCCACGGCCATGCCATGGTAGTTCACCATGGCCATGGTGGAACAAAGAGAAAACAAACAGACTAGGAAGCACCACGGCCTAGGCTGTGGTGACTTAAATTTGGCCACGGCCAGGGTTGTGGCGGAAACTATTAGCGCATTTTTATCAGTTTTTCTTTCCTTTTTTACTTAGGACTCTTTTAGGTATTTAAGTATAATTGAGATCAATTGTCGAGGGACAAATTTTGCATATTTTGAAGAGGAGAATATGCATACTTGTGGCTTGAAGACTGGAGATCAAATTTAAGAGTTTGATTTTTATTTATTTTCAAGTCTGATTATGTTTTCTTTCTTCTCTATTTCTTTTTTTGTTCTTAGGATGGAGTAAATCTCTTTTGTTAGGGAATGATGAAACTCTAATTGTGTTTTGAACAATTTTTATTCTTAATACCAGATTTATGTTTATGAATTTGTGCAAGAGTTTAGGTTTAATGCTTTATGAATGTTGGATTGATTCAATTACCTTGATGATGTTTCGAATAGAGAAGTTAGGGCTTATTGCTTAATTCATATTCATAATTGTTCTATGGGAATAACATTGCACAACATATTAAAACTAGAAGTAATCGAATAGAGATTCTAGGATTAATTTGTGGTCCATCTAATTCATAACTGAATATGGCGAATTAGTCGTAAGAGATTGATGAATTTATGCTTCTTAATTTCAGAGTAATCGAATAGGGATCTGTATTAAGTTGAATATTATGCCTGAATAAGGATAATTGGCCTTAGAAGAATCCTACCAATTCATAGCACAAACGAGTATTAAGAGTGGTTGTCAAGCATAATTAGGGGGAAATCTGTACCCTAACTTCATTAATATTGCAAAGTTCATCACATTATTTATTTTTTTAATTTAGTTATTTTTATTCGGTTACTTTTAGACTCTAAGATTTCGTTTTCTCAAATAATGTGTAGGTAGTTTAGGTAATTACAAATATTCGCTTTGATCTCTGTGGGACGATACTCAAACTCATCACTTTATTACTTGAACATGACTAGTGCACTTGCTAAGGTTGATTTAGTCACATCAAGTTTTTGGAGCCGTTGACGGGGATCATCAGATTGTTTGTGATTATTTTAAGATTACTTGTTACTTTGAGATTTTTTTTTTTTTTTTTGTTTTTTTGTTTTTTTTTGGAAACCAATAGGTGTTTCTGCTAGTGTATGACTAGAATCTCTGGAAAGATTTTACTAGCATTTGATCCTAAGATAGAGTGCACTTTTCACGCAAGAAAGAGAGCAATCAAAAGGGAGATCATGGGTGATCACGATAACCAAAATGATGGAACACCACCAGCAACTCGTACATTGCCATCTCTAAATGGAGCAACATCGAGCATTTGACGACCAGTGATCAATGCCAACACCTTTGAGATAAAGCCAACAATCATCCAGATGATTCAGCAGTCAGTGCAGTTTGGTGGTTTGGCAGATGAAGATCCAAACTTACATATTGCAAATTTCCTGGAGATTTGTGATACTTTTAAGCACAATGGAGTTTTTGACGAAGCTATAAGACTAAGATTGTTCCCATTTTCATTGAGAGACAAAGCTAAGAGCTGGTTGACCTCATTACCAGCAGGCTCGATTACAACCTGGGAGCAAATGACACAAAAATTCTTGAGTAGGTATTTTCCTCCTGCAAAGACTACATAATTGCGTAATGATATTACTATGTTTGTGCAGGTGGATACAGAGTCACTATACGAAGCATGGGAAAGGTTCAAGGACATGCTCCGAAGATGTCCCTACCATGAATTATCGGTTTGGCTGTAAGTCCAGACGTTTTATAATGGTCTTAATAGTGAAGTTCGAAATATGATCAATGCTGTTGTGGGTGGTATTTTAGGTAAGAAGACACCAAAACAAGCTTATGAATTGCTAGAGGAAATGACTTCAAACTCTTATCAATGGCTGATAGAGAGGTTGCCTGTGAGAAGAACGTCGGGTGTTCATAACATAGATTTTATCATAGCTTTGGCAGCACAAATACAGGCATTAAATAAGAAGATTGATGGACTTCAAATGCAAAACCTGCAATAGTTGCTTCTATGTGTGATTTTTGTGGCGAAGATCACCCTAACCATGAGTGTCAATCAGGTAACATGTTTGCTGTTAATTCTATGCCTGATCAAGCTAACTATGTTTCAAATTTTTGCAGGCCCAATAATAATCCATACAGTGAAACATATAATCCAGGGTGGAGGAATCACCCAAATTTCTCTTGGAGTAACAACAGTCAAATGAAGCCTCCAACACCAGGTTTTCAATCTCAAGAGAAGAAATCAAATTTAGAGGAGATGATGGCAAAGTTCTTGAGTACTACATAGACAAGAATTCAGAATCAAGAGGCTTCCATCAAGAATTTAGAAGCTCAAATTGGCCAATTGGCCAATGTCATTTCGGGTAGACAACAAGGGCATTTACCAAGTGACACGGAAAGGAACCCAAAGGAGCAATGTAAGGCCATAACCTTGAGAGATGGAAAGGTGATTGGTGAAGAAGAATCACAAAAGAAGGCAAAAAGTGAAGCAAAGTTACCGGTCTCTATTGAAGAAAAGAAAGCGAATTCAGAAAAAGACACAGAGACTAAGGTAAAAGAAATTGCAAGAGGTAAAGGAAAAGGTACGTCAAATTATGATTCTATTGTTGTTGAAAAAGATGTATCTAAATTTCCTTATCCCGATAGAATTAGAAAGGATAAACTGGATCAACAATTTTCAAAGTTTTTAGAGGTCTTTAAGAAATTGCAAATAAATATTCCATTTGCTGAAGCTTTAGCACAAATGCCTAGTTATGTAAAGTTTTTAAAAGACATCCTTTCTAACAAGCGGAAGATCGAGGAGCATGGAATAGTTATGCTCACTGAAGAATGCAGTGCCATACTGCAAAATAAATTACCTCCTAAACTAAGAGATCCAGGGAGTTGTACTATACCTTGTGCATTAAGAGATTCATTCTTTGATAAAACATTGTGTGATTTAGGTGCTATTATTAATTTAATGCCTTTATCAATTTTTAGGAAGCTAAGACTTGGAGAAGTGAAAGAGACGAACATGTCGCTCCAACTTGTTGATAGATTAATCAAACGACCTAAAGGCATTGTTGAAGACATTTTGTTAAAGGTTGACAAATTTATCTTTTCGGTGGACTTCATAGTTCTTGATATGGAGGAGGACTGGGAGTGCCTCTAATTTTGGGACGTCCATTTTTAGCGGCAACTGGTGCTCTGATATACGTGCAACAAGGAAAATTAATTCTAAGACTAAATGATGAAGAAACAATGTTTGATGTCCATAAAGCGATGAAAAATCCTACTTCATTTTATATTGAATCTTGTTTTAACTCTGACAGTTTTGGTGGGATTGTAGGTGATCACAGAGAAGAAGTTTTGCAGAAGGACTCTTTGGAGAGATGTCTAATGGAGTCAAGCACAACAGAAGATGAAGACCCGTGCTTGAGAGAAGAAGCTGAAGCGTTAGAGAAAGAATCTCTGACTGATAATAATGTGGAGCTAAAGGAGGATTTGCATAAGACCCCTAATGAGGCTCCTAAACTTGAGCTTAAACCTCTTCCTTCACATTTAAATATGCTTTTCTAGATAAAGATGCTTACCCTGTGATTATTTCTGCATCTTTGACAGATTTGGAGGAGAAGTCACTGCTAGACATTTTGAGGAAGCACAAGAAGGCGATGGGATGGACAATTACTGATATCAAGGGAATAAGCCCTTCTATCTGCATGCATAAGATCCTCATGGAAGAGAATTTCAAGCCAACAATACAACCGCAAAGGAGATTAAATCCATGCAAGAAGTAGTACAAAAGGAAGTTGTAAAATTACTTATGCAGGTATTATTTATCCTATCTCTGATAGTAATTAGGTTAGTCCTGTGCAAGTAGTGCCTAAGAAAGGGGGGATGACTGTGGTGAAGAATGAAAATAATGAGCTTATCCCCACTAGGATGGTCACTAGATGGCGTGTGTGTATAGACTATAGAAGATTAAATTCTGCCACTAGAAAAGACCATTTCCCATTGCCATTTATTGATCAGATGTTAGAGAGATTAGCGGGTAATAAATTTTACTATTTTCTTGATGGCTATTCTAGTTATTATCAAATTCCTATTGCTCCAGAGGACCAAGAGAAAACAACATTTACTTGTCCTTATGGCACATTCGCTTATCGACGTATGCCATTTGGTTTATGTAATGTGCCAGCTACTTTCCAACGTTGCATGATGTCAATTTTCTCTAACATGACTGAAAAATTTCTGGAAATTTTCATGGATGATTTTACGTTGTATGGACTAACCTTTGAATCTTGTTTGCAAAATCTTGCGTTAGTTTTACAGCGTTGTGAGGAATCAAATCTTGTGCTGAATTGGGAGAAGTGTCATTTTATGGTACGAGAAGGTATCGTGCTTGGACACAAGATCTCTAAGCGAGGGATTGAGGTTGATAAAGCAAAAGTGGAAGTGATTGAAACATTACCTCCTCCAACAACGGTTCGAGCAGTCAGAAGTTTCCTTGGCCATACAGCATTTTATAGAAGATTTATTAAAGATTTCTCAAAAATTGCAAAACCCCTTTCTAATCTTCTTGCCAAGGATATAAAATTTAACTTTCGTTCTGAATGTTTGCAGGCCTTTAATTTGCTGAAGGAGAAGCTAGTGACAACACCAATAGTGGTCACACCAGATTGGAACAACCCCTTTGAAATCATGTGTGACGCGAGTGACTATGCCATCGATGCTGCTCTCGGTCAAAGGAAAGACAAAATGTTTCAGGGCATATCCTATGCCAGTCATACCTTAAATGGTCCACAACTAAACTATACAACAACCGAGAAAGAATTACTAGCAATGGTTTTCGCATTCGAGAAGTTTAGATCCTACCTCATAGGCACAAAATCAATAGTCTACACAGATCACGCAACTCTACAACATCTCTTTGCTGAGAAGGAGGCCAAACCATGCCTTATCGGATGGGTCCTTCTACTTCAAGAGTTTGATTTGGAGATTAAAGATCGAAAGGGGACAGAAAATCAAGTTGCTGATCATTTGTCCCGACTAGATAATTCAATCCTTGAAGAGGGAGATATTAGTGCAGAATTTCTTGATGAGCAAATTCTATCTCTTGACTCTTCTTTTTCTAAATCTCCATGGTTTCCTGATTGGGCTAATTTTCTTGCAGGAGGCTGGATCCCAAAGCATTTTACATTCCAGCAAAGGAAGAAATTTTTGGCTGATGTCAAATATTATTTATAGGAAGACCCTTACTTGTACAAACTATGTGCAGATCAAGTTGTTCGAAAATGTGTGCTGGAAGAAGAGAGATTGGATCTGTTTTGAGTCATTGCCATGATAGAGAAACCGAAGGGCATTTAAGGGCAAATCGCATAGCGGCAAAGGTGTTACAATAAGGTTTTATTGGCCCACTATGTTTCGGGATGCTCAAAGGTATGTATCCTCTTGTGATCGTTGCCAAAGAATAGGTAATATTTCTAGGAAAAATAAGATGCCTTTAAATAATATATTGGTATGTGAAATTTTTGATATTTTGGGTATTGATTTCATGGGACCGTTTCCATCATCGTATGGAAACGCTTTTATACTTATGGCAGTAGATTACGTTTCTAAATGGGTGGAGGCAATTGCCACCAAAACTAATGATTCTAGAACAGTACTCAAATTCCTTAGGCGGAATATTTTCACTAGACATGGAACTCTGAGGGCAATCATTAGTGATGGTGGGAAGCATTTTTGTAATCACCAATTTAATGCACTCTTAAAGAAATATGGAGTCACACACAAGGTAGCCACTCCCTACCATGCCCAAACTAGTGGTCAAGTAGAGGTCTCTAATAGAGAGCTAAAACAAATTTTAGAAAAGGCCGTTAGTGCCTCTAGAAAAGATTGGGAGATAAAGTTAGACGACGCTTTATGAGCATATAGGACAAACTTTAAAACACCTATAGGTATGTCACCTTATAGGTTAGTATTTGGAAAAGCATGTCACTTGCCTGTAGAATTAGAGAACAAAGCCTATTGGGCTACTAAATTTTTGAATTTTGATGTGCAAAGTGCAGGTGTTAAACGTCTTTTGTAGGTAAGTGAGCTAGATGAATTTCGTCATTGGGCATACGAGAGTGCTAGTTTGTACAAGGAGGAGACAAAGAGATGGCATGATAGGCACATTGTGAAAAGGGAGTTCGAGTCGGGACAACAAGTTCTTCTTTACAATAGTTGTCTTCGTCTTTTCCCAGGAAAGCTGAAATCAAGATGGACGGGTCCATATGAGGTAATTCAGGTAACACCTTTTGGAGCAATTGAGATCCACCATGGAAAGACAGGTGAAACGTTTAAAGTTAATGGACATCGCTTGAAGCACTATGTTGGAGGATGTTTCGATCCAAACACGTTGTCCGTCCAGTTTCTTGAATGAAAAAAGTGGAGAAAGTCAAGCTAACGACTCTAAATTAGAACTATCAATTTCTTTTCTTTTCTCTCTTCTACAATTATTTTATTTTTGTTTGATTTTGTTTTTATTATTGTTTTGTTATCGTTGGAACAAGGAACAAGTTTGGGGGAAGCTTAAGTGATAGAAGAAGAAGACAATTTTGAGCAGAATAAAACATGGGCTACCTTGTGTTATTTTACACAGCCGTGGCCATGTTAAAAGATAAAAAGCTTGCAGATTCCAGCCTGTACCATGGGCTACCCCATGTCATTTTACACAGCCGTGGTCATGTTCCAAAAAAAAAAAAAAAAAAAAATCTCGTCTTTTTCAGGGAAGTTTTTCATTTTCCATATTTTCTATTTTGGTTTTTGTTTTTCATGCATTGAGGACATTGCATTCTTTAAGTTTGGGAGAGTGAGTAGTTTGATTTATGTTGAATTGTTGTTTGGTTTGTGTTGCATTGTTGATAGTCTGTTTCTTTTGTTTGGTGGGTGTGTTTTTAGGAAGTGTTTAGTTTATTTGTGTGTGTGTGTGTGTGTTTTTTTTTTTTTTTGTTTATATTTTGTATTTGTTGCATGGTGGTTATTATGCTTGTGCTTTTGATACAATCCCGAACGAAACTTTTTGATATCCCCAAAGAAAAAAAAAAATTGCTTTTTGTGATGAACTTTGTAATCATTTAGAGTAGTGGTAGTATCAAGTCATTGAAAAGATTCAAACATGCTCATATCTTTAGGAATGTTGAAGAGTATGCAATTCTAGATGGTTGTGCAAATCTGGTTTATTACTTGGCTTTGTTGTGTACTAGCTGAGCCTTGTCTTCACTCCCTAATTAAAAAAAAATAAAAAATAAATAAAAAATATGTATATATAGTCTTGAAATAAATTAACTATGCTTATTTGTTTGTTTTTTAATGAACTACTCCGTTGTTTCGAGCTGCTTAGTAACTAGGAGTATTCATGAGCCCCATGTTTACTTTTGCGTCAAACCATGGCTTGAACTATGAGTATGCAAAGCACTTTATGTGTTGTGACATTGGTGAGTAACCGGGGGCACTCATCACAAATGTGTGCATTCACGTAAAAAGGTGATGTGACAATCTGAGGAAGCAATTGAAAAAACAAAAACAAAAACAAACAAAAAGAAAAAAAAAAGAAAAAGAAAATAAGTAGGGATTGAGTATAAAGTCTTGGTGAGGCATGATCAGGTTGAGGAAAGATTGGAGTTGCACAATTAGCTGGATTGTATGTTTGGTAGCATGAATATTATTTAAAGCATGTTTGATTTCTTTTCCTTGATTTTGGGAATGTTGTGAATCCTTGATGATTGTTGAGTTTATTTTTTCTGATATTTTCTTTTCTCGGGGACGAGCAAAGGATTAAGTTTGGGTGAGTTGATAAGTTGCATAATTTAAGTGTTTTTAGGGTTGTTTTGATGTTAGTTTAGTTAACTTCTCATTTGTTTCCTTTGTTTTGATGTTTATTTTTGTTAAGTTTGAGATATGAATGGTTACCTATTGATTTGGATAACTTTTGTGTTTTTTTAGGCTTTGATTGAGTAGATTGGAGTATTGGAATGAAATTGGGACTTAAAGCTTGAAGAAGTTGAGATTACCTAATATTCTTGAAGGCCATGGCCATGCCATGGTAGTTCACCATGGCCATGGTGGTGGAACAAAGAGAAAACAAAGAAACTAGGAAGCACCATGGCCTAGGCTGTGGTGACTTAAATTTGGCCACGGCCAGGGTTGTGGCGGAAACTATTAGCGCATTTTTATCAGTTTTTCTTTCCTTTTTCACTTAGGACTCTTTTAGGTATTTAAGTATAATTGAGATCAGTTGTCAAGGGACAAATTTTGCATATTTTGGAGAGGAGAATACGCATTTTTGTGGCTTAAAGACTGAAGATCAAATTTAAGAGTTTGATTTTTATTTATTTTCAAGTCTGATTATGTTTTCTTTCTTCTCTATTTCTTTTTTTGTTCTTAGGATGGAGTAAATCTCTTTTGTTAGGGAATGATGAAACCCTAATTTTGTTTTGAACAATTTTTATTCTTAATACCAGATTTATGTTTATGAATTTGTGTAAGAGTTTAGGTTTAATGCTTTATGAATGTTGGATTGATTCAATTACCTTGATGATGTTTCGAATAGAGAAGATAGGGTTTATTGCTTAATTCATATTCATAATTGTTCTATGGGAATAACATTGCACAACATATTAAAACTAGAAGTAATCGAATAGAGATTCTAGGATTAATTTGTGGTCCATCTAATTCATAACCGAATACGGCGAATTAGTCGTAAGGGATTGATGAATTTATGCTTCTTAATTTCAGAGTAATCGAATAGGGATCTGTATTAAGTTGAATATTATGCCCGAATAAGGATAATTGGCCTTAGAAGAATCCTACCAATTCATAGCACAAACGAGTATTAAGAGTGGTTGTCAAGCATAATTAGGGGGAAATCTGTACCCTAACTTCATTAATATTGCAAAGTTCATCACATTATTTATTTTTTTAATTTAGTTATTTTTATTCGGTTACTTTTAGACTCTAAGATTTCGTTTTCTCAAATAATGTGTAGGTAGTTTAGGTAATTACAAATATTCGCTTTGATCTCTGTGGGACGATACTCAAACTCATCACTTTATTACTTGAACATGACTAGTGCACTTGCTAAGGTTGATTTAGTCACATCAAGTTTTTGGAGCCGTTGACGGGGATCATCAGATTGTTTGTGATTATTTTAAGATTACTTGTTACTTTGAGATTTTTTTTTTTTTTTTGTTTTTTTTTTCTTACCCAAATTAAAATAGATCGATAGGAGAATAAATTATGATTGCAATAACAATTAAATAAAAATAATCAACACAACAAGTATATTAAATAAAATCATTTTGCATAACGTAACAAGTAGTATTAAGTAAAATCATTTTGTATAATGTTACATTTGGGTCCTATTTATTTCATATTTTTCAATAGTTCAAACCGTTGAAGAGTAAGTATAGTTTCAAGAGAAGTGTTTGGAAGAGAAATTGTGTTCGTGTATATTTCTTATCAATTCTAAGTTGTACAGTGTTTTTATACTTACATGTAACTAACCCAGCATAATTAACTCGGGTTAACATCTAACAAAGTTTATCTCAACAGTAAACTAACTTCCACTACTCTATTGCATAACTCCAACTAACTCTCTACAGCAGAATTACGTTATATAACTATCTTAACACCCCCCCCCCCCCCCCCCCACCCCCCCCCCCCTTTTTCTCGTTGAAGGGTGAAAGGGTCAAGAACACCCAACTTGCATAATAATTTTGAATGAAGAGATTTGCAAGAGCTTCAGTTAGAGGATCAACAGGATGTTCTGAGGATGGAGTATAAGCAGTTTTGATAAGACCTAGCTTGAGTTGTTCCCTCACAATGTGGCAGTCAATGTCAATGTGTTTAGTCTTTTCATGAAACATGGGATTAGATGCAATGTGATTGGCAGCCTAGTTATCACAATAAAGGGGAACAGGAAGTAGACTAGTGAATCCAAGTTCAGTAAAAAGTTGTATGAGCCAAAGAATTTCACACACAGTAGAGGCCATGACCCTATACTCAGCTTCAGAGGAGGACTTGGAAACAGTGGCCTACCTTTTAGCTAGACTTCCATAAAATTAAGGATTTGCCAAGGAAAATGCAATAACCTGTAACTGATTTCCTTGCTATGAGGCAAGATGCCCAATCCGAGTCACAAAAAGCAAAAAAATCCATATGATTCTGAGTTGGGAAAAATAAACCCAAACCCAAAGCTGTCTTAATGTATTTAACTACCTTAAGAGCTGCATTCATGTGTGACTGCTTGGGCTATGCATGACCTAACTTAATAGATTGACAGAAAAACTCAAATCTAGTCTTGTCATGCATAAGTATGACAACTTACCTACTAACCTTTGATAGATGCTAGGATCAGCAAGCAATGGATCATTGCTAGTAGGAAAAAGTTCATCATAAGTAGTAGACGTTAACTTCAAAGTGGACTCTATTGGGACTGTAGAAGGTTTAGAGCCAGATAACCCAGATTCAGATATGAGCTTAAAAGCATATTTTCTTTGACACAAATTGATCCCTTTACACGATCCAGCCACCTCAAAACCCAAAAAATACTTCAACATCCCTACGTCCTTCAGCTTAAAATTAGATATCAGAAGCTTGTTGGTATGATGGATCATATCAATGTTGTCTCCTGTGATGACAATGTCATCCGCATCATCCACATATACTAACACCAACACAATGTGAGAATCAATTCTTTTAATGAACAAAGCAATCAGCCTTACATTGAGTAAAACCTCCAGATATTAAAGCCTGTGTAAGCTTATAATTCCAAGCTCTAGAAGCTTGTTTTAGGCTATAAAGTGACTTGTCCAATTTACAAATAATATTCTTCCAACCCCCCCCCCCCCCCCCCCCCCCCCCCTGCTTTGCAAAACCTTGAGGGAACATCATATATATTTCCTCTTTTAAATCACCTTTTAGAAACGTAGTGTCAACATCCATTTGGTATAAAGGCCAATTATGCATAGAAGCTAAGGATAAAATGGTTCAAATGGTGACCATTTTGACCACAGGGGAAACAATTTCTGCATAATCGATGCCAACCTTTTGAGTGTATCAATTAGCGACGAGCCAAGCTTTATATCTTTCCAAAGAATCATTAACTCTATACTTGAGCTTATAAACCCACTTATAACCAATTGGGGTCTTACTAGGAGGTAAAGGGACTAGAGACCAGGTTTTATTTAGCTCTAAAGCCTTTATTTCTTTTTGCATTACAGCCACCCAATTAGGATCTTAGGATGCTAAAGAAAGGGAGGAAGGTTCTACCAAATTCTGACTTGTTAAGTAAGCTTTGTAAGTAGAGGAAATATGATCATATGACACATAATTGGAAATAGGATATGATGTAAAATTAGTTGTAGGTGAAGGTTTGATAGA